CACACTCACACACAAACACACAAACACACTCACACTCAGGAAGTCTGTTGGCGTCAAAAACAACCAAAGATACACAAAAACAATAAATGAGCATTTTATGATCTGAACGTTTAGGAAACTGAAACCACCTGAATTAAACTGATTAAGTTGATTTTATTGCATTTTGGTAGCAGAACAGACTAAACACAACATATAATCAGTTATCAGTATATACAGTATATTATATATGTGCATATACAGTATGTGTGTATGTGTATATATATATGTGTATATGAATGAAAGTCCACTATTCTCTCTTTTAGCTCAGTTTTTGGTCTCCACCTCCAAATCCTGAGGGGAATATGTGTCTCTTTAGCTGCTAAATGCTCCGTTATGTTCACCAGCTGGTGTCTCAGCTACGTGGATCGTGGATCTGGTTGATGTGAATGAACGAGGTATTACGTTTCTGGACCTCCTGCAGGGCTGGAAGGATCCTGTCAGGTACTTGAATCTCGCTACATTTTGGTCTGTATTTGTAGTTTATCACTAACCACCAAATATATTCATCAACATCTGAAAAGAAAGAAAGAGGGGGATAAAGAGCAGCCAACCAACCAACCAGACCTGCTGGACCAAACGCCACCAAACTGCCCCAGAGAGAAGAGCCCAGATGGATGCTAAGCTAACCTAGCTAAGACCTCAGGCTACTCCACTACCCAGCATGCTCCTGGCTGTCTGAAGCCCGGTCGCAGAAAAAATAAGATGCATGAAAGCAGCGGTAGGTCGGTGACTGTTAAGCCCACATCTTCACAGAGACCTGGATCCATCGTGGTCCAGGATTAAGTTACACCTGACGGGTGGACATCAGGACAGAGATCAGGACTCTGGTGGACCAGAGGAGGAGGACTCTGTGTTTACATCATGATGCTTGGTGCTCAAACACAGTCAGAGTTCCTCATGCTGAGTTCTTAGTGTGAAGATGTTGGCCATTTTATCTGCTGTTTACATTCATTATGTGGAATGTTCTGCTGTTGTTATTTTGTTTGTTGTGTTGAAAATGACCTACAACTGAAGTTCCTTGTGCTCCCATGAGTTACATAACAACAATAAATGATCCTCAAAGAATTGATGACAGAACAAACGACTACGAGCATTAAACTCGATCCGTTGACGTTAAACCTACTGAAGCCTTCGTGTCCTCTGTCCTCTGTCGAGACAGTCTGTCCTTCAGTGAGCGTTTTACTGGAGGAACCTCTGAGCGATGTTTCCTTCGAGCTAAAAATACCGGCGGCGTCTCGTTACACCCTGCAGGACTCGGAGCAGACCTGGTCCCCCCCCCCCCCCTTTTTGACATTAAAGGACGAACCTCTCGGAGTCTCAGTTGGAGCACGCTCAGTTGGACTCCTTCCAAGTCAGACACCCACAGACCTGCAGTCCGGATCTGAAGAGTCTTAGACGAAGAGTACCGTCCGAAATCGATCAAGACTTCAAAGAAGGTCTGATGACGTCCTCTGGACTCTGACGGCGTCCCGCTCGGATCAGGAAGATCTGGCAACCTCACCGGTCCCACCAGACCAGAACCTCGGATCTCTATCGACACCATCAGCCCGACCCTCACCATGTGATCCTGGAGTGGAGCTCTTCTTTGGAGACGCTCTCTTACAGACCGAACGTTCTCCTGATGACTGAAAACCTTTAGTTCTTTGACCAAGAAACTTCGTCCCAAAACTTTGAAGGATTTGTTTTTGTCTGTAGAATAAAGGACTAGACCTTGAAGACCATCTGGTGGATTGAAGTCCACCTTTTTCTGCCATCAAAGAGTCTTCAGAGAAGAGAAGAACGAGAGTTTTTCTAATCGATACTCGTAAATAAACTCTTTCTAGAGATGAGAGAGCTGCTTCTCCTCCCAGCAAGGCAGCAGAGAGCTGCATACTCTTCCTCCTCTTCGTCTTCCTCCACCCCCATCACCTCCTTCTCCATCCAAACCTCCAAGAAGTTCCCGTTCTTCCATGTCGTCAAATGCTGCAGGTAGAGTTCCAACACCTTATTAAAGGAAGGTTGGATGAGTTTATATTTTTCCAAACGTTCACCTCTGAAGCTCGGCTGCTCGAACATCTTTTTCAAAAATGCATCCAACGTGTTTAAAGCTCTGCTTTCCTGCGGTCAGTGAAGGCCTCCCTGTGTTGTTTCTGTGTCTGCAGGTACGAGGCGGAGAACGCCTTCTTCTCCAGTCTGAAGCTGAAGGACTTCAACATCATCGACACCCTCGGAGTCGGAGGCTTCGGACGCGTCGAGCTGGTACTATCAGATTCCATTATAGAATATGAGATTACAGAACGTGAGATTACAGAATGTGAGATTATAAAATCTGAGATTATAGAACGTGAGATTACGGAACATGAGATTACGGAACGTGAGATTACGGAACGTGAGATTACAGACAAATGTAAAAGAGAGAGATTTTTATTCTCTAAATTTCATTTTAATGCAGCGACACAGAAAAGACTTCTTTGTAGGATGTTTCACTCGAGTTTAAAATCATTTTTATCAGTAAAAGATCAGTTCAGGTTAGTTTGAAGCTACTTTAAATCTTTAAAAAATAGTTTTTTGTGTTGGATGATTTAAAAACTAACTTCAGATCAAGAAGCTTCAGACAAAGTTAAAGACCAGTTTGAGTCTAGTTGGATATGATTTATAGTCCACAACTCGGACAAAATGATGTGTGCATGCGTGCGTGCGTGCGTGCGAGAGCTATTTGCAGTAACTTTCCAGTGGAGTATCAATGCTGGTAACTGGAGACCAGTCATCATGTGATTCAGAGTCTGGGTTTTCTCAGGGTTTAATTCATGAGCTCAGTTTATTAAATCTAATTAATTTATTAATAAGTCTAGTTTGTCTTAATGAGTTCCTCAGATCAGGAGCTTCCTTTGTTTTCATTGTATTTCTATTCATTAGATTCTCTTAACAGTGTTCATTAGTAGTGAGGTGGATGGAGACAGAGGGAGGTGTGATGTAACGGTTGCTGCTCTGACTCGTGGAGTCGAATGTCTCTGCAGCAGCAGGAGGTTTTCGGGTACTGAAGGTCGGAGGGGAAACCCTGCAGAGGGTTTGCCCAAAAACAGGAAGGAATCCCCGCTCAGGATCTCCCATCATCCCTCTGGAGCTATTTCTAGTGGATGAGTCAGAATGTAACTCTGCTCCGAGGAAAACACTGACCTCTGACCTCCAGACTGCTGATGATATTTCCCATCACAGCCAGCTTCAGAGCAGCGGCCAGGCTAGCTGTTTCCCCCTGTTTCCAGTCTTTATGCTAAGCTAAGCTAACCAGCAGATGGCTGAGTGGTGTCCAGAAATAGAGGATTGTGTCATGTAGTATTTACAGCACAGCTGTTTGTCCTTCATATGTGTTCCATATGAGGTTCAAACTCGCAGATATGAGTCGAGATTCAAACCCAAGACCAATACTCGTTAAAACTAGAATTTTAAAAACATGTTGGTCCGTCTCTCACCACTGTCTGACTTCCTGTCTGTGTCTCATTGGTTCCTACTGAAGACTTGCATCTTCTGTAAGACAGCAAAACTATTTAGTTAGGTTGAGACAACAAAAGTACTTAGTTAGGTTTAGGAAAAGATGGAAGTTTGGGTTAAAATAACTACAGAACTGTCGTTGTGAAGTTGATGAAGTACGTAAGTTTCATGACAAATAAATCAACGTTGACTTCTTGTTTCACATGAGGAAGGAACAGTGATCTCCTGGATGAAAGATCTCTGTTTGTCCCTCCCTTCCTTCCTGTGTGATAGACCGTCTTTACACTTTCTCCTTCATGATTACGTGGCTAAACTTTCGTAGGATATCTAATTATTTATTGTAGTTATATCTACGAATGCTGGATGAGACCAGCATGGTATGATACACACACAATACTTGTTAGATACAGATTGAAATGTGTGATGTTTCTAACCGACTGGACGTGTGTTTGTCTTCAGGTGCAGCTGAAGAACGAGGAGGCGAAGACTTTCGCCATGAAGATCCTGAAGAAGCGTCACATCGTCGACACGAGACAACAGGAACACATCCGCTCTGAGAAACACATCATGACCGAGGCGCACTCCGACTTCATCGTCAGGTCAGAACAACAATCATCATCATCATCATCATCATCACTGCAATCGTTTCATATGGAAGTCCTTGATTCTAAAAAAGGGTTGCTTTAAGTCCTGGCTTTCAAAATAAAAGCTTTACTGACAAATCTTTGTTTGGTGTTATGTGCAGAATTTTGTCACTAATAACAAATTTTCAGCATCACTGGAAAAAAAATATTGGTTCTGGTTTTCAAAATAAAATAAAAATAGAATAGAGTTGACTAAAACTTTATTGTCCATGAACTAAAAACAATGTTGCTTTTTGTTGGCGTTTGTTTTTTTGGTTAGCTCTTTAAATTATTTACATAAAAGCAGCAGAAGAAGAATATGAAACACATGGAATCAGAACGAATCTCGCTGTTAAAAGAAGAAACTTGAAAACATTAAATAAAATAAGAGCTTTCTCAAACAGAGAGATGGATGTTTCTGATTTATTTTGAAAGGTTCTGATGGAGCTGTGTCGTTTGTGTTCAGGTTGTACCGGACGTTTAAAGACAGTAAATATCTGTACATGCTGATGGAGGCCTGTCTGGGAGGAGAGCTGTGGACAATACTGAGAGACAGGTACACATTTCACACCGTTAGTCTGTCTCTGTTCAACACATGTACTGATGAAGACGCGTCGCTCTTCTAAATCTTTTATAAATGGTTTCTTTTTTGACACAGAATAAAAGTAAAAAGTGCTGAAACAACAAGTGTTTTAGTCGATTAGATGAAAATTAATTTATAGATTTAGATTAACAGCAATTTTGATAGTTGGTTATTTGTTGAGGGTAATTTTTCAAGCAAAAGCTAAAAACTTTCTCTGGTGTCAGCTGCTCAGAATCTGTTCTATGTCTTTATAAACTAACTAACTGGGTTTTGACAGTAATTCTTGTTTAACTTGTTTTTCAGGGGTTCGTTTGAAGATTCAACCACCAGGTTCTACACAGCCTGTGTGGTCGAAGCCTTCGCCTACCTGCATGCCAAAGGCATCATATACAGAGACCTGAAGCCTGAAAATCTCATCCTGGACAGCCGGGGATACGCCAAGCTGGTAATTCAATATTTATTGATGAAATACATTTTCAATGTTTAACATCTTGTGGGAATCTTCAGCCAGTAGCTTCAAGTTTCTGGGTGAAAATACAAGTTTAACAACACAATGGGTCAATGTTGCAAAGGGAAAAGATTTAATGAGTAACCGAACAAAACCAACGCTATGAAGGGAGAATGTTGTGTATCATCAGTCTTAGGTTGTACAAATGTTAAGATAGTAAACTTTTGCACACAGTTGTTTGTTGTAGTATGAAGAAGTAAAACAAACGCACCCTAAACAAGGCAGGGATTCATTTTCAACATTACACCTGTATTCTATTGGTCGGGGAATTTTGAATCCAAGAGCAGACAAGAACTCGGAGAGCAGAAGTTTCAGGAGCAGCCTGACTGTGAAGCAACAAAATATCTGAATGCAAGCAAACAGTTTGAGCAGAAGCAAAGCAAATCCAAGCGCAACCAGGAACTATTGGAGTGCAAAGACACGGTTTAGAGGGAGAGCTTTACAAAATATCTGAAGTGAAATTAGTAAGTCATGCTCTCAAATTAAAAGAACACAATCTTCAATAAAAAAGTATATTAATATTAAGAGTTCTTCTTATTTTAAACGAGTTTCCAGCTTGAGATGCTGTACAGGAACCGGCAAGAGCCAATTCACACGATCAGAAAAAGGAAATTATCCAAATGTGGAGAGACGTGTTCAATCATTTTAGTCTTTTTCTAGGTGGACTTTGGTTTTGCCAAGAAGATTGGTTTCTGTAAGAAGACGTGGACGTTCTGCGGGACGCCGGAGTATGTCGCTCCAGAGATCATCCTCAACAAAGGTCACGATGTCTCAGCAGACTACTGGTCTCTGGGTATCCTGATGTACGAGCTGCTGACCGGCAGGTGAGGACAAAGACAAGAATGGAGACAGTAAAGCTCAGTAGAGTCAAACTCTTGTTTATTTGGTGTCTCTGTGTGTCTCCAGTCCCCCGTTTTCAGGTCCAGATCCAATGAAAACCTACAACGTCATCCTGAGAGGCATCGACATGATCGAGTTCCCCAAGAAGATCACCAAGAACGCCGCCAACCTCATCAAGAAGCTCTGCAGGTAGGGGGCGCTGTTCACCTGAGCAGCTCACATTAACTGTACAGTCAAAGTTCATTGTTCTTATTTCCAAAATAAATCCTGTGTCAACAGAGATAATCCCTCAGAGAGACTTGGAAACCTGAAAAACGGAGTCAAAGACATCCAGAAGCACAAGTGAGTGGACGGGAAGCTGACACCTCATTGGCTGTTTCAGCTCTCACATGTTTTCTGTTCAGTGTGTGCTTCTAAATACAGGATAAAAAAACTAATCCGTCTCTCTGTGTTCAGGTGGTTTGAAGGTTTTAACTGGGAGGGTCTGAGGAAAGGAACTCTGACTCCACCCATCACACCTGACGTGAGTCGAAGTAGAATTCATGTTAGACCAATCAGGGCTCAGTAAATGTTCTGAATCATAACAAGGAAACAACAAAGGTGATACAGATTTTAAAAAAC